TGTGGCCAGGTACATGCTCAGGAAGAGCATGAAGAGGAGCTGCTGCTGCTGCTGCTGGGGCTGCCACGAGAGCCCCAGGAGGAGGAACTCGGAGACACTCGACAGATTTGCCCTGTTCATAGGCATGGACACCTGAGCAACACATACAGACTCGTAAACCTGGAAAAGGATGGTTGAGATGAGACAATTAAGAAGGCCACTAGAGGAGTGCACTGAATGACTCAGGTCAGTCCTTAGGAATTTGTCCCCTGAGGTTTACAGCCAGTTACAGACCTCTCTTAGCTTCTACTTCTTCATTAGCAAAACTTTAACAAATACTTGGTGCATACATACTCTCTCTGGGTTCATGCTCAGAATATTTGATGGTGGCTTTGTCAGCAGCTGCTTTTGTACTGGTTGAACTTCCTAGCATTACCATGAAGTTGTCTAAAGTAAAGATTTTAAAGCACTAGTAGTAAAGACTATAACAACTTGTACTGAGTAGCAGACAATACCTATGAACAAGTGTTTTCCATAAAAATTGGTGTGAAGGAAGTGTGTGATATAGGCAACTGATGTCATCAATATCATCAGTGAGGTTGTCTTCAAAGAAATACTTCTCACAGTTTGCATTTCATCATCTTGAAACTGCATGTGGTCCACATCCCTAGCACATATGCTCAGAGAATGGTATCAGCCATGGCTGAAACACTGATTCCACAGCGTTACTCATAATACTGCTGCTGCTGTTGATTCTTACTTATATGGGTTCATGCATACAGAGGCTTCTCTGAGTCAAGAAGCCTGGGTGGGTCCACTAAGATCCCTAAATCCAAGTGGTAAAATCAAATAGAACTGACCCCCAACAATAGACAAAAACTCAGCCAACTTGTCCAAAAGTAAAGACGAGAAGGCAAGAAGGGGTAAAAAATCTGCACACTTGACCGTGACTGAACAGCACACTTTGGGGCGAGTCAGTCATGGAGGAGGGAATGCTCTAGGGAGGAGGTGGTGGTGATTTCACACTTCCCTTTGACATGTTTGAATGACATATTCAATTCTATGACATGTAAATCATGTGCCAAAACTGCCAATAAAATTTTTAACTGCACACAAAAGACTGGGGCACCCAGGCTGGAAATGAGGAGAGGGCTCACACACTGTCAGGAGTGCAACCAGTGCTCTTAAACATCGGGATGTACAGATTGTTGAATGGGAAGATAAATTGTTGTCTACATTGACACTGAAAAAAAGCAGAAAAATGCAAAAGACAGACAGAGAGAAACTCGGCCAATTTAATAATGCCCACAGTTCAAGGACTTATGACTGGACGGAACATGGACATGTCAACTTTGAGTTCTAAGGAGAAAGCTGATAGTTTCAGAACTGTGGCTGCACAGGAAAGATAGAGTGAGGAATCCCTCCATAAGGCATCCCACCTTCACAAACAGCTATTGGTGATGTCTCCACTGGTCTGACTCTTACCTGGGAAGACTTGTAGTCCTCTCCGTCTCCAGGAGAGCCACACTCACTTCACTTTTGCAGAACTGAACAGAGGTTATTGGTCAGAAGAAAATGGTGTTTGCAGGCTAATTATACCTAAATGAGGAGCTAGCATGCATTGACTCACCCTTCATGGCAGGAAAGATGTTTGGGGAATCACAGAACAGACTTTCACAGGAGTCCCCATGGCCATTGGCCCCAGATTCCCTGAGAGGCTCATTAGAGGCATAAAGGGAATAATTGTTCCATCTATCTTTTTGCCCCTTTGGACCAAACAATAATAATGAAAATTACCTAAGATTTAGATCTAACTTTGGGGTCACACTTGAAGTTATTAGACTTGAACCACATGGGGAAGGCAAGGCCCAGATGAAATTCTCTAGGACGTCAAGCCCCCTCACCTTGCTCTACAAGTTCTATGTCCATAGATGTAGACATTCAATTATTAGATCTTACTCTTCTCACTTCCTGTGCTCAGAACTGAGTCCTTGTCGATATATTTTTTTATTTCAATTAGCCCTTGCTTCCTGCTGTGTGATCATCTTTAGAGATTTAGAGATACCTATCTTCCCTATTTCACAAATGAAAACACTTACATCACATTACTAAGCTGGACGTAGCACATAAGCCATTTGAGAGAAGGATTTGTCGCAAGAAGGTTGCCTCAGGAAGATGCCAGCATGCTTTCATTTGTGAACTCTAGATCCCTTTTCAGGGAGCCCTGGTGGCGCCGAGGGTGCACGTTGGACTGCAAACCACAAGCTTGACAGTCTGAAACCACCAGTATCTATCTCCAAGGGACAGAGATGGAGCTTTTTACTCCCCTAAACAGTGACAATCTCAGAAACCCTCTGGGCCAGTTCTAGTCTTTGGGCTCACAGTGAATTAGAATTAATGACATGAGAGTGAGTTTTAAAGAGTTTTCAGAAATTACAATGTGCGAATAAAATTGGGATTGGCTTTGACAGCACAGCTCCAGAGCAACTCATAAGAGCCTGGCGATGACGGCTGCAGTACTGAGAAGCCCACAACAAAAAATCCACTGACAAACAA